CAAAAAAGCTAAGAAGGAAACAAAAAGACTAGAACACATCCTCCCCAGCAACCAACACCCAGATAAGCAGAAATTAACACTAGACAAACAAGCAGAAAACAATACCCTAATGAAGGAACTACCAAGGAGAAAACCACACTCCCACCAACACTGGTAGGGCAAACTACTCTATATAAACAGGGAGCAAATCCATCACTCACTAACACTGATGATGTTACCTAGTTGGGTAATGAAATGCCTGCAAGCAAACAACCAAGTTCAGAGAGCACCAAGAACTTCACAGTCTTAGAAATAGCTACCTATAGATACAGTAGAATGAAGTAGCAGAGAAGACAGTATAACATAAGAACGCAGGTAAAGACACCAGGTTTAATGCTTCTCTAGAGACAAATATCCCCAAAGCAAAACCAATCTGTAAGTAAAAAACAGTACAGAGTGGGAAAGGCCAGAATTTTTCCCCAGATGCGGTACTGTATACCCTTTTTCCAGTTACTATTTTAAATGGAGAAAATGTTCTAAATTCTACCTTGCTAGGTAGAATAGTACAATCCACTCTGCTACCTTATTTGCTGCATATGAAGACTAGGCCTGCTTTCACTGTAATACTAAAAACAACTTTATATTGTTATATCCAACAAAAACACCTAGCATTTGGTAAATGATGCAGAGTAATCTAATTATGTCATACGTGGCAAGGAAAAATATCTTGTGTGCTTGCATTAAGAATAAATATTGGAACAAAGTTTATCAGTAACTAGTGAAGATACAATATTTTAAATACTGATTGACCAACTGAACACTCCTGACAGGAGTATGGACATTGTAACACTGATTCTATTGTTTTAAATGGCTGAGTAATTAGAATCCATTTCTGGGTCTGCAGCATATGCCTGTTTACTTAGAGAACATTGATAACTATACCAGCACAATGTTGCAAAATATCACATTTTCCCAATGATGTGGGACAATATATTTATTTAGTAGTATTAAATTAACATGTGGTTGTTTCTCCTGTTAACATAAGACTTTTCAATACAACTCACACAAACAAGAAAGACAAATAAACAAATGAGAATTATTATTAGTGTTGGTTATATTTCCAATTTATCCAGTAAGAGTAGGAGCATATTAAGAGAACCAATGTGGCATAGCTATTATAGTCCAACACTAACAGCTATACCACACTGGCTCTCTTAATATGCTCCTGCTCTTATTGGCAAGGAGACCCAGGTTCTAGTCTACACAGGTTCTTAGACATAGAGGTTCACTGGTAACCTTGGGCTGGTCATTCTCTCTCAGCCCAGCCTACTTCACAGGTTTTTGTTGTGGGGAAAAATAGGTTGGAGTGCTGTGTATAGTACCTTGAACAACCAAATGAATGGTAGGATATTAATTAAATAATTAAATAACCTAGCTTGCAATCCTACTTTTTATAAAGTACCACATATCAGTTTTTTCCCATACCAATCCACCTAGGAACTGAAGAGATCTGATATTCTTTTCCAGAGATAGGATAATCAGAGGAAAACCCCTAATGAGATTTGCAGAATTAGGATAGGTTCATTCAGAAGAAAAGGGTATTTTACATACTCAAATCCTAAGTGTTTAGGACTGTTTAACAACTGCAATTTAAGTAGGAATTCTCTTGGAAGCAAGTTCCATTTAAATCAATGGAAATTACTTCTAAGCACACTTGTTTATTGTTAGTCATTCTAGAACTTGAAATACCTAAACTTTTGTTGCTTTCGCTAAGATCAACTTGCTTTGAGGCAGAACTGCTTGTATCTTCAGGTTTAGGAACTTGCTGAGGACTTCTTGCTCTGTTTAAGAAGCATCCAAAAGTCAAACTGCTCAGTCGCTGGCCTTCTGCAGGTTTTTGTGATGAAGAAACAGACTTCTTCCCCTGAAGCTCTGTTCAAGTAATAATTTAAATATCAACATTTAATATATTGGGACATTAAATTATTTATTTTAAAAGCTGAGAGGCTGACTAATTTTGATATTACAAGTAGTCCTTGGCTTACGATAGCAATTGGGGCCGGAATTGCTGTCACTAAGCATGATGTCACGTGACCGCATCACTTAGTGATGGCAATCCCTGCACTTCCAGCTGCCATTGTTAACTGAATCCCATGGTCATTAGGTGAGGCAACTTCATGCTGGCTTCCCACAACCAAAGTCAGTGGGGAAGCTGGCAGGAAGTTGCAAGTCCCAGGCCAGCAGGCTGGGTGGGGGAAGTGTGGTGAGGGTTGGGGAGGTTGCAAGAGGGTGCGAGGGGGTGATTGAGAGGTGCAGGGAGGGTCAGGGAGGGTGCACGGGGGTGTGGCATGGGTCAGGGAGAGCGCGTGGGAGTGCGGTTTGTGTTGGGGAGGGTGCATGGAGTGAGGTGCGGGTTGGGGAGGGTGCTCTGGGTTGCGGCAAGTGTCAGGGAGGGTGCTGGGGGTGCGATGTGGGTTGGGGAAGGTGTGTGTGGGGGTGTGAGTGGCTGGCACAATATGAGCATAGAGGGGCTGGGGCCAGGGGCGGGAGACTTACCCCAGTGACTTGCAACCTTCCCTGCTGGCTTCCCC